CTACCACTACTAGTACTAATATTAGAACTACTACAACTACAACTACTACTACTACTACTACTACTACTACTACTACTACTACTACTACTTCTACTACTACTACTACTACTACTACGACTACTACGACTACTACCACTACAAGGACTACTACTACTACTACTACTACTACTACTACTACTACGACTACTACTACTACTCCTACTCCTACTCCTACTCCTACTCCTACTACTACTACTACTACTACTACTACTACTACTACTACTACTACTACTACTACTACGACTACTACTACTACTACTACTACTACTACTACTACTACTACTACTACTACTACTACTACTACTACTACTACACTACTACTACTACTACTACTACTACTACGACTACTACTACTACTACTACTACTACTACTACTACTACTACTACTACTACTACTACTACTACTATACTACTACTACTACTACTACTACTACTACTACTACTACTACTACTACTACTACTACTACTACTACTACTACTACTACTACTACTACTACTACTACTACTACTACTACTACTACTACTACTACTACTACTACTACCACTACGCGCCAGCACCCAGTTGCGCCAGCATTGTTTCTTATGTTGTGGGAGGGCGGAACGTGTCCGTTGTTCCTTTCAACATGGCCACTCTTGTCGTCGACGATGCGAAATGCGTGGCGGGAATGGGACGCGGCGCATATCCCGCGCGGACGTCAATGCGGTGTCCTGGGGTATCCTCCACTCGCACTTAAATGCCCGCGCAGCCCCCAGTTGTGCCATCACTGTTTCTTATGTTGTGGGAGGCGGGTGGGAATGGGCATGCCATGCTTGACTCGCCCGAGCTGGCTAGCTTGACCCTCACCCTTACCCTTCTCAGCGCCTCGTCCTCGCGGATCCGCAATCGTACCGCGGCGGCACCGAGTGGAGTGCTCTCAAGTCCGCTCGAGACCTCCGTGTTGAACGTTGCCTGATACTCTCCAAGGGGCCTGGAGCCCCGAGTTCCGAGGGACTTCCTGAGTGCTCCGCACGACTTTCCCCGTAATTTCTGTGGTTGTTGTTTCCCCCCCAAAAAAAAACTTCTGTAACCAAAAATGGTTGTTCCATGCCTTCGGCCCTGGAGGGGGGAGCACAAAGTGGCCACGAAAGCGACACGGTGGCGGGATGAAGCGAAGGCCAGAAGACAAATCTTCCTCGTCGCACAAGCAGGCGCGTCGGTAGGGCGGGCGGGCGGTTTCGCCTGAGACTCTCTGCTCTCTCCTCGCTTCCGATCCTGAAGCTTAGAACTTCAACAGCTGAACAGATTGAGGGCGGGTGGCGTTCACCATGTGGCTCTCGCCTTTGCGCCGCGCTCATTCGTCATGACAAACTTCCAACAAATAATACGCACATTAATGGCGGCTTATCTTGGCGCCGGACACAGTCGTCTTAGAAGCTTCCGACAGTTACACGTATGGATAGCGGCCCACTTTCGAAGTGTGGCTCTTGCTTTAACGCCGCGCGACTTCGTCGTAAAGCTCCCAGCAGCTTCACACAAAGATGAACTTCCGTTTCAAAATGGTGATCTCGGTTGAGATATCCTTCGAATGAGAACCAGTAGTGCAGAATAGCGCAGCAGTTACTCTGATGGGCTATCGTTGAGACTTCACTGAGCTTCATGACCCTTCTTCTGGGCATTGGAATCCGCCGACCCCTGGCTGGCAGGGGCGAAGGGCACCTGACATTGTTGGCCGTCACCCTTCCCATTTCCCTCTCCCCAGAGGTCCAGAGTGCCGTGTGAAGGGGGTGTCGACGAGCTCCTAGGCCCTCCCAGCCTCCAAATCCACTCTCGGACGCCTCTAAGATGCCTGAGATGCCCTCCAGGACATCCAGAAGGGCTCTTGAACGGCCAAGAAGGCCCAAGACCGCTCGAATTGGCAAGGGAACCTCTGAGGGATGCCGCCGAGAGGCCGAAATGTTTCAACGACCTAAGTTGTCTGAATTGCTCCGAAAACGTTTCGCCGTTTCGGCTTTTTGGGGGCCGATCGGAGCATGAAGCCTTAAGCTGGCTTCAAGAACGCCCAGGAGAGCCTCAAGAGGGGCCAAGAAGCGCTCCACGGCGGCCCCGAAAGCTCGCAAGAGAGCTCAAGAGCGTCCCAAGAGGGAACAAGAGACAATCCCCCTGTTGGAACGATGACCACCAGGATGGTTCCAAGAAGGCCCCATTGCCCCGTAGCGAGCCACCGAAAAACATCAAGGCTACCCAACGGGCCTCATGAGATATCCTAGATGACTCCGAAAGCACCCTCAGAGGCTCCCAGAGGCCTCAAAGTTCAGCAGCGTTGGCATGTGTGTTTCACTGTATGCTGGTATGCGTCCCTTTTCCCGACCGATCGCCTGGGCATCGTTCCTGAACGAGCTGCTGGGGATGTATGGTGGAGGGAGGAGGAGGAGGAGGAGGAGGAGGAGGAGGAGGAGGAGGAGGAGGAGGAGGAGAGGAGGA